AGGTTCTTTAGTTACACAAGGTTGTTCCTTTGAAGCTGGGAGCCTTTGTGGGCAGAAAAGGGAGCCTCGCAGACAGAGGCTAAGTAAACCTCACAAGCCGGTGCTCTACCCACCTATTAGCAAGGAATACACACTCTCTATAAAAAAGCTATATAAGCACTATTTGCAAAAATATGTCTGAGAGTAAAACATTCAAAACTGAAGTTAACAAGCGTAGGCCAAAATAATCTGCATTTAAATGCCTGATCCAGGGCAGGTCTGCTCTGCAAAGCAAAATATTTTTTCAGATTTATTCCATTGTTAAGAAAAGGGATGACCCCTCTTTAGCATACCTAATGATGCAGCACAGGAGCCTGTGCCCATTAGCAGGAGTTACATGACTTTGTAATATTTATTGACAGCCGTCAAAGGTTTGGGTAAAAATATGGAAAGGTACACTGGCAGGCACTGTGTAAGAAACATGGGGAGGGGACTCGGGTGATCAGTGGTGTGTTTATTTCAGTGCATAAAACATGTTAAGGAAAATTATTTCCACACTTCTAAGAAAAGGTTACAAGCAATGAAAAACAAATGGAAAAGAAACCAAGCAATTTTTTTTACAATGATGTTGAACAAGGGAGGTAAAGGCAGAGGAGTTAATGCAACAGAGGCCAAGTATTTTGGAACAATACTGCATATGGGGGACGCATGTTAAAATGGACCAATTTTTATTTTTTTCCTTCGTTAATTGATACCGTTCCGTGAGTTAATGTTTAAAACCTGGAGTGTTCCTACAGTTCTTTTTCCCAGAGTGTTGTGCAGACAGATGAGAGCTTGCTCTCTGCTGAGGTCTGGAAAGCCTGACCAAAGCCTCACGCTCCCCCTCCCGCAATTTCCATATGGGCACAGAAGAAAGAAAGGGCAGAAGCAATGGCCAAGAAAGAAGTATTGCATCCCAAAGAGTTACAGTATTTACCCCCTTCCAGAGGACTAAGCAGCTCTGGTACACAATCCTCCTTGAAAAGAGGATGAGGAGATTCTGCTGGTCTTTAGATGTCAGGGTAACTAAAATTTTAGGTCAGCCTTATGAGATTTGCCTCCTGCACACTCATTTTAGCTGGGTTTGGGAATATTTGCTTGCAGGGCAGCAAGGGGCTGGCGGGAAATTAGATGTCAAAGCCTTGGTCCTCATTCCACAGCTCCACACCGCCTTTAGCAGGCCAGAGCCACAATGTACTTTAGGTGTAAGAATCAAAGCTCAGATTTATTTTGGAACTCAATCAACAGGCAGTATGGAAGACAGCAGAGGTGCTTTTACACTTGCCAAGAGATAACAGACCCGAGCCAGTGCAGAATGCTGTGGTCTACGAGGGAACACCTAATGCCCACACGACAACAGGTCAGCCAAGAGTCCAAGCAGGTGTGAACAACTGAGCTCTGGTTCACCTAAGCCAACTTATAAATAAATATTTATAATTAAATATTTATTAATTTATAAGCCAAATAAATAAAAAAAAAAAAATCACTCCAGACAGTCTGTGGGAGCTCAATGTCAAAATGAACCTCTGAACCGTGCCAACAAACTCTAAAAAAATGCCCTTTTTCTGCCTAGAATTATAATTTCACTCTGCAAATTTACTAACTTTGTGTGCTTCCAGTCCCAAACAGATTTTCATCTGAGATCTTCTCACATTGCAAACTGAATTCTTCTAAACTCAGGAAACAGAGCCCCGAACAGAAAACTTTTCAATGAATATATGGATAGCCTAACAGCTCAGAAAGAACCAGCCGAACCTTTCACTCCCAGTACAAATTCAGAGAGGCATTACTCATTTCATGAATAAAAAGTGGGAAAAACCCAAACAGCAGCAATAAACACTCCCAAGATAGGGAAAAAAACAGCATTCAAGAGCCAAAATAACACACAGAGGAGGAGGCAATCCCCATTCCAGATCATCCCTTCTGGAATGTCAACCATGCAGGGCCCCTGCTGTAGCACCACTCCCAGGTTATCTGGGCTGCATCTTCTACAAATCACCTGGTCATTAAATAACCCTGGAGGACTCCTGTGTATCACTGACGCTGGAATTCCTGACAAAAACTAGCCATATTGTTTTACTAAGATACGTTCTGGAACAAATCCCACCACATTTTCCCCAGAATAGGTAAATCAGCAGGTCCAACAGAGCTGGACATCAAAAGATAGAGCCTATGGACTGAAAAAAAGTTCACTTAATGATGTGTAAAAGACTGGCAACAAGAACATGCAAACCAGTGCCAGTCAGTAAAGTCATCCTAATTCCCTAGCTTGTTCTCAAAACTGTGATCACCTTTTCAAGCTGAATGGGTCCTGCAATATTCATGGGATCAAAAACTTTATCATTAAGCAAGGTATACACAACTCTGCATTTTAAGACTTTTTTCCTGACCACATCTGTACACAAAGAACAATTATTCACATTTTAACTGAAATACAAAAGAAAAAAAAAATCTGAGAAGCTACATATGCTGTGCAAGTAAAGAACACTTTCACAGAGTATGGAAAGCATAAAGTGCTACGTGAGAGCTTGACTCACCCTCCAGATCTCTGGGTAACCTGTCACTACGCACAGCCTAAAATACCACGTAAGGTGCAAGCCAGGAGGAAATGGCACACACATTACTCCTTCAACACACACTAGGTTAAAATTGCTTATATATTTCCAAGTATGCACAAGCTGAATTATGATTATATTTATCAAAAGTATGTTACATACCAGCAGTGGGCTATTTTCTCCCTTGACGTGAGGACCATGCCACTAGAAAAAGCTTCAGCTTTATCAATTCTGATTAGGAGCAGAGGAAGTAACAAAGATGTCAGCTACAAAAAGGAAGAATTATAAAACTAGCAACCAGCAGAGTCAGGCACCAATGCAAAGATGAGGCAATTACCAGATGGAGGGTAAATTAAGAAGTAACAACAATTCTAGTAGGTAGACTGAACTTTGGAAAAAAAGTGCTCTGATCTTTCCAGATCAGATAATCCCCAAATCTTTGACTATAAACTTCTCCAGACGTTTTTATTGCACTTATTGCTGTGGCATCAAATTTTTTTTTTATGTCCAACCAGCCCATCAGATTAAGACTGTAAGCCTTTGGGGAGAATTTTATTTATCTGTATGCAAACTGCCCTAAATCCAAGATTTCCATTATACCTCTAAAGAATCAGGCTATTGGTTTGAGCATCTGACCGTTACTAAAATGCTACTCCTTGAAGATTCCCCCCCTCAGAAACAGAATGGGCAATTTAAAAATAGCATTGGTGTATCATTTTTGTCCTGGGAAGAGGTTAAGACTCTCAGTGATTCTTCAGCACAAGGGTACTCTAGAGCCACAGGTCAGGCCATCGGATAGCTGCCTTCTGCTGCTCCAGTTCTCACCCCTTTGTGACAACTCCATTATGCCAAGAACGCCAAGACTGCAAATGCCCCAGGATAGGCCGGGTCCTGCCATGAATTGCTTTCCCTGGGCCGGACTCTTAGACTTTATACAACTTTCTAAGGGAAGGAGAACCACTGCAAACTGGACTGCAGATGATCAGCTCTTTCATGTGAACAGGGCAAAGAAATTTCAAATAATCTGGGTTTTCCCAGGTTTTCTTCCCCATTGTTCTTGTCCTATTTCAAAACACAGCACAAAGGAAATGGCATCCCAGATGTCTCGAGTCATTCAGAGTGCTGTGCTTCTTTGCAGGGATATCAGCCGGGCCTTTTGACGAGCTGTATATGGAAGTGAGCACTTTTGGCATTTGCTGCTAATTGGGCACCAAAAAAAGCAAAGTCCAAATGAATTCTGAGATTGCAGCGTGGGTCTGCCATCATCAGGAGAGGGCAGACAGCTCCAGCGGCTCTCCCTGCTGGCACACTAATGTAGTCTTATTCACATTCAGCTCAAATATCTACTAATTGCTTTTTATCCAGATGCTTTTCTAATTTAGGTACTATACCTGCAAAAATGAAAGCATTCAAGATTTATGAAAAAAGAGGCAGCTGCTTATCACCTGGACACTGCTGGCTCTAGATACTATGACAGGCTTACTCTTCATAAAAGCAGCCTTACTGAAAATGGAGATTGAATAACTGCTATATCTATATGTACACCTACAGCTGTGGATTCAGAGATGGAAAGGGTTTGTTATGCTATGGTTAAGAAAGATGTAATGAGCATCAAGTCATTTTACACTGCACTACAGAAGAAAACAGTTTGCAGTTTTTGGCAAATCTTTGATGTTTGCTTTTCAATCCTGGTGAGTAGATGTTAACTAATGTCATTATAAACACTTTAATCCAGAGGGAGATATAAGAAAAAACCTCAAAGATTAATTTGATTGAAGCACTACATTTAATCCACTATGCTATGTCCAACACTGATGACAAAATGACATTCAAAAAGAATTCTTCCACTTTAAGTAGAATAGATAATGAGTCACTAAAAAAAAATAAATCTCTACATTGTGGCGATATACCAGCTCCTGGGCTATTCTCAAGGCTCAGACGCAAAACTCTGACATCCTGACTTCTAACCGTCTCATAACGGTTAGAACACACCCTAAGCTTCTTCTGAATGGAGAATACCAGTGAAGATACCCACTTCTAAACAGTGCATCTCCTCATCCCCGGCATACAGACAGCAGGATATATTTACATTATCCAAAAGGAATTGCAACTACTTCAACCACTTTTTAGTTTAATTAATAGAATAGAAATAAATGGAATATGGATTTCAGGGGTTTTAAACTCAAGCAGGCTCAAAATCTGGTCTCTGAGCTGGAAAAGAAAATTACTAGCATGTGATGCTTAAGTGACTGACACATACTTAAACAACAGAGCAACGTTTTCCTATCTGGTGCTGTGCACAACATTAGAAGAGTATTCTTAAGGTGATAAGTCAATTCATCTTGGCTGGCTAATTTCCAAGAGTATCCACTGGTGCCACTATTAACACCTGTAACAACCTTGCACAGCTACGCCGAATTAAGATTATTATTTTTTTAAAGAGGAAGAATTGCTTTTGATTTTAATCAAAACAATTATAAAACCTAAAGCTTACACACACATTTTGGTAGTGATCATTACTAGTAAACTGCATAAAGAATAAATATCAGTACTTCCAAAATTGACACCATAGTAATACTGCTGCTTGATGCATCAAGCAGGGACAAAATACAAATAGCATACTCCCAAGAAAAGTCTATTAAGCTTTACATGGTTATCGGTAATAGGTAGCACAATAAAATAAGCTGATTTAAACACTTTTCCCCAGATGATGCCCCTCTGACTGTGTTCATTAGCAAAACCATTTGTAACATATGATGGGAAGTTCAGAACAAGCACGATGGTATTAGCCTTCTGTAAGCACTCAGAGCTGCAATTTGTCAGCAGTGCACTGTATTTTGGAGCAGATAAAGATTTCTGTAAATTTGCATGGCTGTGCACATAAGCAGTAGTTCTCCAATGAAAAAAAAATTAAGACAGTTTGTTCTTTTGTCAGTCCTTAACAATAAAATGAACACATCAGGCCAAAATAGTTTCTTAAAAGTAGGTCAAAAATACCCATTCATGATCACTTCTGCACTGGTTTCCCAGCAAATTAATCTACCCACACAGATATACGTAATGCATATCCTGGAGACAGTGAGGCAGAGGAAGAAAACCAAATACATTAATGAGGTAGCTTAGACTGAATAACTGCAGTTAAAAGTTTTATTGAACAAAAGAAGGTAAAATGTGGTAGTCCAAGTTCACTGAGCAAAAGCAGCTCTCTCGCTGAAGCTGCACTTTGTGCTAAATAACCTTATTAACTGAGACTATACAGTGGACACATTATGCAAGTTATCTCAACAGCAAAGGAGAAAAGGTAGATTAAATTTGATCTGATGGAACAATTTGGTCAAATTCAGTGGCTTACGTTAATGTTTCTAGCCCTTATCTATCTATATTCAGTACAGGCATACCACAGAATATACAACTGCACTGAATTCCCATTTGTTAGTAGTGTGTGCTCCCATGCAAGCGGAAGCCGACTCCTGAAAAAACCCAAATTAAAAACCCCAAACATTTTAAATCTTTTGTTTGAAGCGTTACTCAACCGACTCAGGAAAAACACTCGATATATGTTATAAAAAACTCCCAGCCTCTACAAGGTCCGTTTCCTGTATAGTGCTAATATTTTAAAATTATTTTATTTCTCCCCTCTGCCTAAGAAACTTCATATGCTCTGAAAGCACCCACAAAGCCAGGTGGGTAAACAGATATGTCAAAAATACTCTGTGAAAAGAGGGAGGTAGCTCAGGCCCCTTGGCAACCTTCTGTCATAGTTCACACTGATGTGGTCTACCTCCCTTTGTAATCGGCAGTCAAAAATGAAAGGAAAAAGGATTTCAACTATGAAATTTGGTGAAAGAACGTGTTCAATACAAAGTCTTCAAACTTGACTCATTGGGCTTTCAAATGTAAGCTATAAGGTACCTCACACCCAATACACAACATTAATAACGTACCTAGTTCATACATTTTATAGACAGTATCTTCTCATTTGTTAAACATTTGGCTCGGGTGAGTACATCTTTTTTTGTTAACCACTTGACAAACATTCTAGGCCAAACAAACAGCACAAATAATGTCAAAGTCTTTTTTTTTTTTTTTTCCCATTGTATGAAATGCTGTAGGCTAAGCCTAACAGAAACTACTGAAGAAAAATAATAGACCCCATGATGCAGTGCAAAGGTGTTACTACAACATCATAAGTCAAGGGATGTTTCTAAGGTGCTGAAAGAGGAGATTCTCTAGACGGTGACCCTGTATTGTCCTCTGGTGGGAAAACAGTAAGAGTGCAGGCTCGAATGCCACCAAGTGATTCTGGAAGGTCAAATACTTTATGCCACTCATCTTTTTCTGGATCATATTTCTGAACTATTTCCACCATACACCGATTATTCCAAGAATATCCTCCAACAACATAGATTTTATTTTCAAAGACAGCAACCCCAACATCACTTTGCCCACGTAACATGGCAGCAATTGGAGTCCACTGGTCTAGAGTTGGTGAGTAATATTCACAGCTTAGAACATCATCATAATCACTCGTTCCTCTAAAGTGATTTCCGCCAATAACATATAGCTTGTCTCCTACAGTACACATGCAGTGCAGACCTCTGACTGTCGTCATCGGAGCTTTCTGAGTCCATTTGTCTGTGTCAGGGTCAAAACACATAAGTTCCTTTTGGAAAGTATCATGGGTAATTCCCCCTAGAGAAAACAAAACATACGTTAGAGCAGTGCTCACCCTAATAAGCAATAAATAGCAGAAACATACATTTTCGTGAACAAACTCAGCCTTCCCTAAAACGTTTTCACATTAGCTTTAGATTGTTATCACATATGTGCTCCATTTCAAATTACATTTTTAACGTACCTCGTTCCTTTAAATCCAACTATGGAAAGAAGCCACTTCTCAGAGTACTTCATTACATAAGATAATACTGGCAGCTTAAAAAAAAATTTCTTACCTATGCTTCATTTTGGCAAAATTATTTCTTTGCTTACATTTGTTCAGTTTGCTAGTTTTGTTTCTCACCATCAAGAAAACAGAAATCCATTTCCCTTTCAAATTTTGATACTATACTATTGTGTTTTAAGTGGTCCTATCACATAGCAGAATTTTCTTCAGAAAATTTTTTTCATCAACTTGAACTGAAGAGAGAGAGGACACAGATTTCAAATACTCTTCTGTTAATAGATATCTATGGTTCTCTCCATATTTACCTTCTCCATGGTTCCCTGCAAAAGCAGTTGGAGAGGCTCTGGGGAAATCACAGGACAATTTCCCACCAGTGAATGAAATGTCCCACCTTTCTGCAAGGTCACTAGGCAGGTCAGAAAGCAGTCACACCAATTTCAGACACTATAGGCTTATTAGCTATGGTTTAAGACCATAATGCAACTATATTTGAGGTGCTAAAAAAATATGCAGAGAACACACTGCTATTGAACAACGTCCTGCTGGGCTAACCACTCCACATTGAATTATCACGCTTGGATTATTAGCAGACAGAGGTGGCATGGTGTCTACAGGAGTTATGCAAGAAAGTACTTAATTCTTCAGTTGGACAGTAAGAATTAAATACAGAAAAAACAGGAGGACTGTCCAGCCCTGACACTTAATGACAGCCATAGTAGTGGCAGTGCCTGGGAGCCTGTCAGAGAGAAGAGGTTTTAATGACAAAGGAACCAATCTTCACATTTTCAACCCCGAAAGTGTCTAGACTCACAGGGATATCTGAGACGACAGGAGGAAAGGAAAAATCTGTGGGAAATACACAGCATTTACATGGAAAAACACAGCAGGGAGCATATACATGTGCCACCTGCAGTAAAACAAGCAAAATGGGCAAAAAAGTACAAATAGCAGCACAATGATTAGAAGCCAGCTTAATGGACTTGCTCATAGAAAATAAGAAGCTGTACCTTATGGTAAATTAAAACAAATCCCTCCTAGTCTACTGGCACAAGGCCCCCTGATTCAAAATACCCCAAGGATCAATCTGCTCCAGTGCATCTCCCCACCAGTTCTTTACAGCTAAGCAACCTTGTCCCACCTCCTGCCCTGAATTTCAGCTTATTTCTTTGAGGACATCCCTTAAAATCGCAGTAGGAAAATATACTGTAGAGATCACTGACAGACAGATTGAATCTTCTTTAAAAATTGAGCAGATACCAGATTTTCAGAAAACATATTGCTCCCAATTTGGAAAAAAAAATGGAATGAAACTATAACCTCCGTGGTAGACAGGACTGAGCATATTACAAACGAAAGACCAGTGAAAGTACAAACATCATTCGTATATTGTGATTAACATGAAAACTTAGCCCTTTCCATTAGCTCAACAAAGGCAGATGTTCTTTAAAGTATTAAAATTGTATCAACAAGGATGTGTTTAATGGTTATTGCTATATAAATGTATATATGTGGTGTTGCCACCGAAAAATGTATTCTGACAGTTCAAGTGAGTAACTGCTTTGGAATTCAGAGCTGTCATTTACTATGTAAACGCATAATATTATCTAAAATAATTTTCTCAGACTCTGCAGTACATATGCTATTTGACTGGCTTCATATGAAATTGCATCACTGCTTGTACCACGGCAAACCTACTGCGACCAGAGACTAATTCTTATTGTCTCCCACTGAAATAGGAAAAGTTAGATAAGTAATTGTTTCATAGAGATGATATGATCATAGGAATTATTTACCTGAAATATACATTAATCCCCCATACACGGTTCCAGCATGACCATAGTGGGGTTCGTTCATTTTTGCGACATAGCTCCATTCATTCATTCTGGGATTGTAACATTCCACAGTGGCTGTTTAAAACAAATGAGAATATAAAAATGTTGAAGCTAGCATGGCAGTTTGGTTTTGAGTACAGTCGCAGTGGCAGTAATATATTCATAAACAGAGAAAGTATCAATAAGAAACGTTGTTCAGCTGAGAAAGTGTCAAGGGAATTATTGAGCATTATGTCGAGAGACAATACAGAAAAACCTCAAGCTTCGTCCCAGAGGAACGAAAAGGAAGAAAAAACCCTCTTGCATTCTTGCCTTCCA